AACCCCAACGTTGATTCGAACCCAATTCTCCCGCTTGAGAGCCCATTGTTCTAGCCGATTGGCCAGAAACTTTTCAGTGCATATAAAACAAGACCATAGTTTTAACCGACACTGTTTTCAGCTTTGTTGAAGATGGTCAAATCCGCAACCCCCTTCCCCCCTAACAAATCAACAACAACCACCAACATGTGACAACAAGATGGAAAGCGAGATAAAAAAAGACAACTAGAGCATTATAATCCCCCCCCCTTTTGGTATTGAAGGGTACTATCACACAAATTAGTACATGACTGTTAGAGATTCAAAGATACGGAGAAACATAATCGCCAACGTCAGCGGACGATTCACTTTATGACGATACACACAATTTGGTTATCGTTCAATAACAAATACTAATTAAATGGATTTATTCTGCAAGCTTTTGTCGTTATCTCTATAAATGAGTGCAGACACTCAACAAACTCGATTTAGTTTCGACCCTGCTTTTACCGTTCGCAGCTAAACAAATATATCTATTTTCTTTTACCCCACCAGGACATCACACAAGCGATAAACACCCGATGTCACAAAGTGCCACCATGTGGACGAGGATCACCCGTGGAGAGGTCCCAGAAACCGCGTTCAGCCATTAGACCACACTTATGGCCGGGCTATATTGCGGCCCCTGGCCAGAGCAGATTTAGGTTAGTTGCGTATCCTTTACAGGACGTTGCAGAACCAACCCCAACAGCCTCTGGCTGTTGTGTGGTTTTTCTAGGCAAATTTACGTCCAGTAGTTTGCCATTGCTTTCTGGGTGGCCAGCTTTCTTGATACCACTGTCGAAACCAAGGCAAGGCGCATGGCCCGCAGTTGAGATCGAACCCGGCATCCCGGCATTACGAAGTGTTCTCATCGACTTGGCCACAGAGCCGACAGAGCCAGAGTAGGGCTTCAAATAATCGAAAAATTGCATCCCACAAAGAGATTATAAAATATTTTAAACAAATATCCTCCCCATCTTATTTATATGTTTCCATTTCTCCCCTACATGGTATTTTTGTCTCTTTATTTCTTTGACCCCGTGGATTCTAGTGTAAAAACATACTATTCAGTAATTCTCATGTTTTTCGCTACGGATGTTCTATCTATCGCCAGCCTAAATTTCTTCCCTCCTAATTCTCAGGAGTGTTTAATTTTCTCCCTAAGGCACACATCAGTTATTCTGTCAGGGAACGCCCAAGGATATCAGACGATCCCCTTGTATTGATAGGCAACTTTTTTATGTAGACCAAAATCAGGAAATACAATTTTTAAAACATATTTAGTGTATAAGACTACGGCCAATTTAAAAATTGAAGAAGAAAAAGAGGTGGGGGTGGGGGACATAATCTATACTCGGAAAAGGGGAGTCGCCGTGGCCGATCGGCTAGACACTCGCCGCGGATCGGAAGGTCGTGGGTTCGCTCGCTGGCGGCGACGGACTTTTAGAAAAAAAAATGACCTTGGCTCTCAGGTCGACCCAGCCTTAAGTGGTTACCGGGTGCAGTCCTGGGAAAGTAAAGGCGGTCGGCGTGATGCTGACAAACATCACCTATCTTGTGCTGATTGGTCTATAAAAATATAGGTCTAGCCCTATATGCCATTTACGAATAAAGGCGTGGAAAAGGGTCCTTTACTTTTTACTTTTTTTTAATACACGGAAAAGAAGTAATTCGAGATGTTCGTAACGACTAAACCACATACGCCGATAGTTAAAAGTTGAGAACCCCTTAACAACATTACAGTATCAGGCGTAAGGTGCTAGACATTTTTGTATTTGCAAATTGATACTAGACGAGTAATGTGGTTAAACATCACTGCGGTCGCCTTGACTCCCAGAACGTTTTTTGGTAATTTTGAAGACTGTGTCGACATCAAGCAGTAAGTAATGAAGAAAAGACTCCCAGGCAGTGCACATTCGGATTTAAGAGGTTGGCAGTTTTGTATATAGACAATACGCTACTTCGGCTCTCGACATGTCAACAGGATGCATATGTTAATTATAACACAAACAAGCCGCAGGAGTCTCATTTGAATGTTTAGTAGAAGTCATGGTACTTTCTATTTAAGTTAAGGTTAGTTGCGTATCCTTTACAAACGTTGCAGATCCAACCCCAGCAGCTCCTGGCTGTTGTGTGGTTTCTCTAGACAAATTTACATCCTGTAGTTTGCCATTGCTTTCTGGACGTTCGGCTCCCTTATTCAACTGTCGAAACCAACGCAAGGCACATGGCCCGCAGCTGGGATCGAACCCGGCACCCCGGCATTACGAAGAGTTCGCATCGACTTAGCCACAGAGCCGACTTTCTATTTAAGTAGTGTTAATAAAATAATGTTTCCTTGGATATTCTGAAAACAAAAACAATGGTAAAGATATATTTGTTTGATTAGTTGTGATTGATTAACAAAACATGCTGATTTCGTGGAGTGAATATATTGTGCTGTACATTTTATCATCATCATCATCAGGTGCCTTGCCGACTGGCGTGGTCGATCATGCCTCTCCATAATCTGCGATCTCCTGCAGCATGTATCAGTTCGTGTGCCGACACACCTCCATGCCTCCATCTTCTATTGTTGTCTTCCTCTGTCTCCTTCCACATATCTTTCCAGTGGTCACAACATGTTTTATTTTCCCTCTTCTTATAACATGGCCGAAAAATGATGACTGTCTCCTTCTGATGTCTGTGATAAGTTGTCTTCGGACTCCCGCCTCTTTCAAAACCTTTTGGTTGTCTTTTTTTGGCTGTCCAAGGTATTCTAAGCATTCTCCTGTAAAACCACATATCCGAGGCCTCCAGAAATTGTTTGGCCTGCCTACCGATTGTCCAGGATTCACAGCCATATGTTAAAACTGGATGTATGTAGCAAGCAAGAATTCTTTTTCTAACTCTTAATGACAAGGATATATTGCACAAGATGTTTTTCATTTTATTATTACAACTTATCACAAACATTAAAAAAAAAAAAAAAAAATGAAAGTGACAGTCCTATTTTATATGTGTGTGTGTGTGTGTGTGTGTGTGTGTGTGTGTGTGTGTGTGTGTGTGTGTGTGTGTGTGTGTGTGGGGGGGGGGTCGGTCATGTGATAGGAAGGAAATAGTGACATGCATACAACAAGAACATATTAATAGACTCCAACCAGAATGCGACGACTATGATATAAATAAAGGTCAGTGTAGACAAAACAGAAGTGATGACATTCCCCAGAAAAGAAATATTATACATATAATAAACAATGTATTGATTAGCAATTATATAAATAAGTAAAACGATTAAAGGACTTACTAGACAACATACAAATCGAAAGCTTTAACTACCGTGCAGGGGATCGAACCTGTCACCTCCAAATGGCGTGTGCGCTTCTCTATGGAAACAAATGTACCAAGAACACGATAAACTAGGCATCCTTTAAAAGATATTTTCATCTGGCGCGTCTATCGTACAGCTTGAAATGCACAATTATGGAATACGGGCAGAATTAATCTCAAACCATTGAAATGGCACCATAGGTTACAGAAATTTATATTAACCGAGCGTAGGTCGAATAACAAACACAGCAACAATTTACAAACACAGTAGACCGTAATAAAAACTTCCATTATCAAAATTAATGAACGCCAGTTAAAGCATACGAAGGACTTTACATAATCTGGGTAGCATTTTTTTTAATAGTACAGAAGAGTTAATAAAAAAAAATCCAACAATAATGCAATGAAGCCAATAAAGTTTTAAGCCAAATGGCACACATTTTGAAATACAAGTGTGAATATGAACACTGGTCAACAGAATAGTCTTACCAATGCTATGCTATCAATGTCAAACATGGACACTGTCTTCAGAAGAAAGAAGGAAAATAGTCACGACAGAAATGAAGTGTTTACCCACTATGCTAGGTTGAGCTTGGAAAGGTCGACGTAGGGACGATGATACAAGGAGGAGAGTCGGCACAGAACTAATACTGAATTTTAAAGGTTGACAACAAGTCAAATGGTTTGGCCATGTAACAAGACTGGCATCAGACATGGCACTATAGACAGCAATGTTATACAGATACAGCGGAAATATCAGTGACACTGAAAAATGCTTTATACGAAGCGTAGTAGTAGTAGTGGTAGTAGTGGTCGTTGTAGTGGTAGTAGCATTTGTTTTAGTGGTAGTGGTGGTGGTGGTGGTGGTGGCAAAGCAGCAGCAGCAGTAGCAGCAATAGTAGTAAAGTACCTTCTCCACGCTTCAGCCAAACTGGGCATATAGAAGTAGGCCTTTATTTTATACAACAGTCGGCGTTCAGTCAGTATCAAAATCACACCAGCCGCCTTTACTTCCCAGTACTTTAACTGGTACCCATTTAGGGCTGGGTCGACCTGGGAAAGATAGTAAATTTTGAAAAAAAGTTCATCTCCACCAGGAAATGAACCCACGAGATTCGGATCTGCAGCAGTAATAGTAGTAGATCATTAAAGAGGGCTGAAAAAAAAAGAGAGAAAAGGAGGGGGGAGGGGGTGGGGGGGGTGGGGGAGGGAGAGTGAGAAAGAGAGGGAGAAGAATAAAGAAGAAGAAGAGGATGAGACAGAATATTAATAATATTAATAAAAACAACAACAATAATTAGACAACAGATTTATGCTATCACTCAGTTCGAACCATTATGTTTGAATATTAATTATATGTTCTCGTTGACTGTTATTTTCCAGAGGAAAAAGACCAGCGAAAAAAGTATGCAACTTTCTTTCGGATTGAAATCAGTGTATCGCTGTCTTACTGATACAATCACATCGCTGTTTGACCGAACCTGGTTGACAATTGCTCAGCTGAAATAAGGACACTAGACATCGCTGAACTACTAAAAAGACACATTACCGCCTTAGTAAGAGAAGCACAGAATCTGGTTCAGTTCCCTAGACAAAAAGACAGCTTCGTAACAATATCATTAGTGCACCATCCTCGCATTCAGCAGTCAGGGCAATTCATACAAGCAATA